GGGCGGGGCTGAAAGTTCCAACCCTCTAATCCCATGGTTGGTTCCCCTGGCAACCAGCCCATCCTTAGGGACTTTCCAAAAGTCACCTCATTAATGCACACTCAGGTGTGGCTGAAAAGGGCTTGTTATGAATAACAAAACACACCTTCATAGCTCTTATCAATCAGGAAATTTCAAGAGTTCTAGGAGCTCTGTGCCAAGAACAGGGATGAAGCCCAAATATATATTCCTTATTATAAATCACAATATTACAGAAGGATTTACTGAGCCCCTAATATGAAGTGTCGCTACAAGCAGATGATCTCAAAGCCTTTCTCAATGGACATCTAAACAGCCACTACCATGAGGGCCCTGTCCACTAGAGTTTTGCAAAGACTCCCAGGAAGGCGGAGAACCAACAGAAGACATCTTGACATCACCAAGAGACCTCGGAGCTTCTGAGAAAGGGAAAAAAGCTCCTTTTTACAAAATAGTGCTGATGCTGGAAGGGAAGAAGAGGTGTAGAGGCATGCTTATGCTGGTCTCACATCCTCTCGGCCACCTTTTTGGTGTGGGCAGCTGCTTGCCACAGAGGCGTGGCCTGACGTCTTAGCCTCCCTGCACCGGGATCTCACCCTTCTCAGCTGCTGCTGGTCTCGGGGAGCCTGCTGGGAGCCTGCTCAGCCTCTCCAGCACAAATACAAACCTGGAAGAGTGAGGGCGTTCCACCTCTGGAGCGCCCTTCACCAACGGGCCATGAGAGCCAGTGGGTAAACACTCCTCTAGTCTGTGTCCCAGGTGGACGATGCTGAGGCGCATTCAACAGTTCCTCAGAGAGTCCCCAGCCAGACTGAGCACCAGTGGCCAACAGTGGTAGCTGGCTCACACACTCACTCTTGGATTGGCTTTCCTTCCTTCCCTTTGTCACTATTCCCTTGGACGTTCTTCCACGTCTGTTCCCTGGGATACCTTTCCAAAATAAACTGCCTGTGCCAAAGCCTTTGTCTCGGTCTTTCAGTTGACCCCAGCTAAGACAAGGCATAAGATAAGCTCTCCACCCTCAGACAGGTGTGTGTGTGTGGCGGGGGTTATAATAAACACAAGAGTGGCCCAGCTCCTCTCCATACCTCATGCTTGGTAAAAGGCTTCATAGCTAGTAGATGTTTAAAACTACCAGTAAAATGGGTAAAAGAAAATGAAATGACAGCAAACTATGGAAGAGAGACTATAACTAACTGCTGTGTTGTATGACACAGACTCTAAGTAATGTAGCTTCAGAGAAAAGAATGAAATCTGAAGCAGAAAGGGAAGGCTGAGAAATAGCCCTGAGAGATGATCAAGATAGGAAGGTGGTCCTGGAAAAGGAAATGAGTCTTACATGTTGAAGACCCAGAGACTGGCCTTCCCAGAGCTGGCAACCTAGAAACTGAGAGGCAGAATAAGGTAGGATAAGGTACATTCAGATGAAGAAGAGGCTCAACAGCCAAGGAGATGAGAGTACATTTTACATGGTGGTCCATGAAGCCGTGTGAGCAGAACCAAGATAATTTCTTTTTTTTTTTTATTTTATTTTTTTTAGATTATTTATTTATTTATTTTTTCCTCCCAAAGCCCCAGTAGATAGTTGTATGTCATAGTTGCACATCCTTCTAGTTGCTGCACGTGGGACGCGGTCTCAGCATGGCCGGAGAAGCAGCGCGTCGGTGTGCGCCCGGGATCCGAACCTGGGCCGCCAGCAGCGGAGCGTGCGCACTTAACCGCTAAGCCACAGAGCCGGCCCCCCAAGATAATTTCTTTATGTAACCTCACCAAACTTTCTGTAAAACCCCTGAACAACCACACACTTGGGCTTACAACCCGTGACTGACTCTTTATCTCTTTCTTTTCTTCTTTCTAGTGCTTACTAATTGGCGAGGCATACTTTACATATGAATTTATTAAATTCACAAAACAACCCCATGTGGTAGGTTCCATTATTGTCCCCACTTTACAGATAGAAAAACTGGGGCACAGAGAAGTTACACAGCTGGGTGACAGAGCTGGGATTCAAACCCTGCAGTCTGGCTGTCTCTTTCACGTTTGTCCCCCACAATCAATGAAGTCACCACATTCTACATGATAATCCCATATGATTCCTTTCCCAACGTTTCTCATATGTTGCATCCTTATCATTTTCAGAGCCTGTAACCCCATGCAATTCATACTTTCCTAGACATTCACTGAGTTCCTGGTTTATATACCAGATGCTGGGCCGGCTGCTGGGGACACAAAGACACGAAGTCTCCACTCTCCAGGAAGGTCACATTACAGACCTTGCAAGATGAGCCAAGTCATGGAGAGATGAACCTACAGGTCAAGATGGGGAGGTTATCCCGGGATGAAACCAAATTGGTAGGTGAAAAAACACATTCTCACTCATCCCAGAATAACTGTTCTGGGTACCTGCTATGTGCTAAGCCCTAGAAGGTAGGAAGAAAGGAAGGAGATGGACACTGAAATGAGTTTTCATGTTGTCCCATTAATACACCCACCAAGGTGAAGAACAGCAAAAGTGTTCACCCCATGCCTTAGACATGGTAGATACGTAATAAAAATTTAACAATCTAGTCCTCCTCTCACACCACTGCAAATCACATTACTTCCAGTAGCTTTCCATAACTGACCACATAAAATCAAGATCCTATTCTAGGTATTCAAGGACCCCATCTTCTACTCTCTACTTGGTTCTGACCTCCCTTCTTGTTAAATCAATCTCTTTTTTCCAAATACATTACAAGCAAATAAGAAGAAAATATTCACACTTTATGTGTTTGCACATGTGATTTACCTTGCCAGGAATGCTGGTCTCCTTTATTTCTATCCATCTTTATCTATGACCTTTTTCAAAAGCCTCCAGAGCAAGGATGACTTGCACTCAAATGGTTTTGGTCTTTTGTCAACGACAGTCCTATAGCACTTGTGAATTACAGTCCCTGGTGTGTTTGGCACTGATGGATTTTGCTCTGTATGGTTCTTACAGCCATGCGTGTATAAGGTGGCACACAGTAGGTGCTCATGAACACTTGTCAGATTCATGAAGTGTTAAGTAAGTACCACAGGGAAAGATCTCACATTATCAGGCAGTGCTTTAATATAACTTCTTATAAAATCTTCTTTCTCTTCATCCCCTGAAACATGGATAATGAAACATACTAATTCATTGGCCTTGTAAATAAGCCCAGTCTCCCCCAAGGAACTACTGTAACATGAATGAAATCATCATTTTGCACTGGACAAGATGCTTCTAGAATAGTGTTTGGCACACAGTAAGCTCCCAATAACAAGTTGTGGAAGTGAATTACAATAATCAGCTTTTTTTCACACCTCCTATGTACTATATAATGTAGTAAAGATTTCCAACAACAAAGTCTGTAAGAAGAATTTGAAGAGCAACCCAGACCAAACACAGAAAAAGTCATTTTACCCACTTCACATGTTGTGTGATCCTAAAAGACTTAAGCCACTGTCTTCTTCCTGGAGTTCACAACGTGTCAGTTGCTGAAGTTAGAACCATCATCCCTCACCACCCTTAAGAGCTATTAGTGGAAACCTGCCCAACACTGGACACAAAATCTGAAAATGGCATTTTCAAATACTTCGTGAATAACACAACATAATAATACTGCTGACAGTCACTTTAAGTAGTGTGATTACAATATGCTAAGTGTTAAATACAACCATTTCATTCCACTCTACATAGACCTTTTTAAAAGAAAAAACAAGTCATGAACAAATAAGTGAGATTTTTATCCCCTAAATGATCCAGAATTAACATTAAAAAAAAAAAACCAAAAGTCATGGAGAGGATACTAATTCTAGGACTCCAACATATTCCAAACAAAAATGTTTTGAAATCAGCCAAAATCAACCCACAAGATAGTAAGGAATAGTTTGGAAAATTTGCTGCTCATTTGGGTTTTTTTTCTCCCCTCCAACAATACTCTACATGCTATGAATAAAATGTGTTAGACTATTGTTGTGAAACCCGCCTCAGTCCCTCCGATGCGTGAACCTCTCGGTTGCATTGAGATCTGCCCGGTGACACATGAGATCTAAAGTGGGTGGATAAAAATAACCTGGTCCTCCAAAAGACATGATAAACGCCAGACAGCTGAGTCACTTAGAAGCCCATTTTGACTCTTGAAAGGGACATTCACCCTCCTTTTCTTCTCACACATACACATACAACCTTGTGAAAACCACCACCAATCGCCCTGGGTGGAAGGAAGTGATGGGTCTTCCTCCAGTCTCTGAGGTCACGACTCGCCATTTGGAACTTTCAATAACTCATATCAGTACATTTCAGTCCAAGTGACTCATTTAGACGGGAAACGAGAAAGGCTTAAGAAAACCATAATGACCCAGGAGACCCCCTATTTCTGCTGCCCGAGTGGAGGTACCAGAAGGTATTCTGACGTGCTGTTGGAAAGAAAAGGAGTGCGGAGAAATAGAAAGTGGAAGAAAAGCTCAGAGAGGAAATCAGAATTGTCCGGGAGTGGGAATCCCTGGGCAAGGCAAACGGTCCCAGAAAGAGAAGGGCTGTGTACGTCCTGGGGGAATCCATCCCGTTAACCAACCCGCCCTCCTCTTGCGCCCCAGGGAGGACGCAAACCATCTGCAACGTGCAGTTAAGATCAGGGAACTCTTCGATTCGATCTTTCAAACGGTGGCGGGGCTGTGGGCAGGCTGCGGGGAACCGGGCCCTGTGAGCCTACGGAGGCTGGCGGAGCAAACCCCCCTGGCGACCCAGTCTTCGCTGCTGCAGCCTTGGGGAATGCCGCGCCGGGCACCCGGTAGGCACTCACGAAGTGTTTGCCGAACTGCAGTGCCCCTGAGCCAAGTCTGCCGCCCGGAGGAGGAGGTCCCCGGCTGCCACTGCGCATCTTCTCGCGTCGCCGAGTTCCGCGGCTCCCGGCCGCCACAGGCCGCCGGCACCGCGACCCTCCCCCGAGACGCCGGGCGCGCCGCCGAGCCTCACTTACGGGGGAGTCATAGGAGAAGGCGCACTCGTTCTTGTAGACCCTGTCCCCGGACCTGGGCACGCGGATCGTGGGCATGTGGGGCACCAGCAGCTCGCCGATGTCTCCTGCAGCCATCTTCCTGCCGCCGCTGCCGCCCGGCATACCGAACAGGGCGCCCCGGCGCTGCATGGCCGCGGCGCGC